GAGAAAATGACATTCCATAAAGAATTAAGGTGAGTGATTTAGCCATGCAATCTGGGGGAAGAGTTTCCATAACAGAGGAAACAGAAAATGCAAAGAGCCTCAGGCAAGAATGTGATTGTTGTATTTCAGGAATATCCAAGGAGGCCAGAGTGTCTGGGAGAAGAGTAGTAGGAGAACAGGACCTTATATGTTGGGTCTTATAGGCCAGTTAAGGGCTCATACCTTCAGTGAAATGGAAAACTGTTGGAGATTTGAGCAGAGGAGTGACAAGATGTCACTTCAGTTTTAAAAGGATCACTTTGGCTGCTATGCTGAGCATGGACAAAAGGAGGGAAGGAAGGAAAGAGGGAGTCTGTTGCAGTGATGCTGGTGAGAGGGGATGATTGGTTCTAGGGTAGTAGCTGTGGAAGGGCTGTGAAGTGAAAAGATTCTAAATATATTTTGAAGGCAGAGCCAAGAGGGTTTCCTGCTTGGATATGGGGTATTAATGAAGAGGTCAAGAGTGTCTCCAAGGGCTTTAGCCTGAATAATTGGAAGGATGAAGGAACTAGTTCACAGACTTTTGGTGATAATTGAATTTGTCCCTGATGTGTCCTCTTCAAAACACTGATTTATCAAATTACTGCTGTACTACATTTTAATCCAATTATGAGGCTGTTATAAAAGTAAAGAAATCTATAGGGTTTCCAGGCATCCATCTCATTTGTGTGAGGCTATTACATCATGTTCACATAGGTGGCATAATTCTTTGGAAAGAGAACTGGTAGTCTTTTGTTTAGGATTTTTTTTATTGCTATTCATAGTAAGAAATATATTTTATATTGTGACCCGATATAAAGCAAATGTAGTTGTATGTGTGTTCGTGAATGGATGGATGGAGAGATAGGAGGGAGGAGGGGAAGGGAGAGAGACTTATGTGTTACTAAAACAAGCCTTCATGAAACAGTGGTCTCCCTTACTATATGCAATGCATTCAGATGTTTTCCACTGAGTCTAATCTAATGTTTTCTATTTTTATCTTTCATTTTTCTTTAGAGAATGCTAGCCATCCCCAATAAATTGATTTCTGACACACTAATGGGTCATAATATAAAAAATAATGCCATAGAAGAAGCCTTTGCAGATGCAGCTCTGCCACTGCTCCTGCATCTGACCTGTCAGCTCACTTCTTACTAGATGGTCACAGACTTTTTTCTAGTACTAAAATTTCGGGAGTGCTGAAATTTTTTAATTGTCCAGAGAAATACTTTTTTGTGACCAAATTATGAGCAGCAACTCTTCTCAGCAAACAAGGTGTGTAAAAGCATAATAGAAAACTAGGTATTTTCTTTTTGTAGTGGAGGTATCTTCATAAAGGCCTTGGGGCACTGTGTTTTGGAGAATTTCCAAGACAGATAAAGAAGGGAATTTTTTTTCCTTTTTAAAAAAATTTTGTTATCATTAATCTACAATTGCATGAAGAACATTATGTTTACTAGGCTCTCCCCTACCCCACATCCCCCCCAAACCCCATTACAGTCACTGTCCATCAGCATAGTAAGATGTTGTTGAATCACTACTTGTCTAAGGAAGGGAATGTTTAATTGATGCTGATTAAATACTTAAGGAAAAAGCATAAAAGATGAATTTCTACTCAAGCCACACAGATTATTTCCCAAATAGTTATAAAAGCTTATGGGAGACATATGAACTCTTCCAATTTGTCTTTTGTTTTGTTTTTTGACCTTCACTGAAGCTACAATTTTGTATACTGGAAGGTTGGAAATAGCAATTTAAATTCTAAAACAATACTGGAAAATTTATGGGCCTGTGGACTGACTTTTTGAGGAAAATAATTTTTTGTAGAAATAGTTTATATAGGTTTTCTTCCTTAACACATAAATGATAGTGTCATTTTGCCAGCTTTTCAGAATAAAATGGTAATTTTTGGAAAGCTTTTATTCAATGTTTACCTCATTTGAACTATAACAAGAAATGCTAAATTTAAAACAAGCAAAGAAAACATGAGTTTCATTAATTATATCTATAGTGACTTTTTCAAAGTTAAAAATGGAATCTCATTTTCTCTTTCAGTAGAAAAAAAAATTAAGTGTATGTTAATTATTAGGAATTTTGTGCATTTTAATATAACCTTGTTTCTAAAGAGAATACAAACATGTTTTGAGAGACTTAACTTAGACTTAACTCAATTGTGGTAAGCATTTCGGTTACTATCCTCAAAGTCATTTAAGAGATGATATTGAAAAGTTCTCTCTCAAACTTTGGTAAGTAATCAGTATTCAAGGGAAAGGTTTTAGGTAGTTACTGTCATTTTCTGTCCAGGGCAAAGATTCTGTGTTTAGCATCCTTGAGATATGACCTTGTACTTTTCTAGGTGGTATGGGGTACACAAAAGTAAGAACAATATTAGAGGTAAAGGGACAATAATTACTATGTGAGTTCAGAGGAAGGAAATATTTCTGACCCAGTAGTCAGCTTCTTCACAAGGGAAGTGGTTCAGAAGCAGGAATTTGCTTAGGAATGATGGGGAAGAATTTCACTTGCAAGAAGGCCTGGCCAAGAAAACATGTGGGAGTTAGAAAGCCCAGGGTGTGTTTGAGGAACTGTAGCCTCAGTAGAACATGTAATGTTAATTGGTCCCCAGGAACATTGCACTCACTTCTAGCAGAGCATATTTGCAAGACAGCAGACAAAGGTTTTCCTTTGGCCTGATTGAGTTAGATGGGATGAAGTGGACAAGCTTCTGTGAGTCAGAACAAGTTGAATAAATATGCACCAAATGCCACATACTTGCAAGTATTTATGGCATACTTCCATTGTAAATTATGTTTACTATTCTGTTTCAAAATAGTTTTGGTAGCAAACATCTGCTTTAAAAAGATGCATGTCTGACTTTTCTACATAAAGTTTGGATTTCATATTGGTAAATGTTTAACTGTAAAACTAATGCTTTTTATTCTGTATAGACACAGGGAACATAGAGGGGCTCTACCTAGATGGAAGTGAAAAGCAGAAACAGCAGTGGCTTGAGCCACTTCTTCAAGGGAGCACTGCCTCGTGCTTCTGTATGACGGTGAAAGCAAACCGCTGTCCTCCCCCTGGGCAGCCAGCCACCCTGCAATTATTTATTACGGATGAGCTGGTAAATGTGGAATGTGGATCTGTGTTTCAGGCCAGAAAAAAAGACGTATTTTGCCCATGGCCAGAAAAGTGAATATGTTTGTTTTGAGCTCAGTTGTAAATGTTAGCATTTTTAAACGTGCAGAATAAAACTGTCTTCCCCTTTGGGAGGACACTGGACGATGTCAGACATTAGCAGCAGAGTAAACCTAGTTTCATCATCTTTTGCCTTGCCATTCCTAAAATGTCATCTGTGAATAGCAAAGATCATTTTTATGATCATGTGTATGAAATAGTCATCTTTGTGATAATTTTATATTGATATTTACAAAATATTCAACTCTGCCATAAACCCAGAAAAATAGAACTTTCATCATCAGGGCTGGTCATAGAGCTAACATAGATTATAATCATGTGGGAAAATAAAACCAAGAGTATATGTTAATAAAAATGGGATTGGTACCATTTCTACATAGGAAACAATAATCACGAGCTCTTCCAAAGACAAAGTCTTTGCTCCATAACTGAGTTTAGAATTAAGCTAAATTTCATCTGGCCATCATTTTGGCCAGCTTTTATTGTCTTTTGTGTCATTGCATACATTTACAAAAGCAAACTAATCTCCATTTAAATCAGCAGGAGACGTTTATTGAACCCCTGCAGTTTGATCTGCTGTCTACAAAGCACTAACTGGAGGTCACTAAGTAAGTACCAGTACCCTTTCTAAAGGAACTGAGTCCTTCAGTTCAGAAAGAGGACACATGAAATATCTGAGGCGACTATTTAACAGAGTAGAGGTTGCCAGGTGCAGGTCACTGTGGTTAGGAGCTAGCCTGGAGGCCATGCAAGGGAGCAGTCTTCGAGGGTGTCCCGTGGAGACCTTCCTGAAGACACTGTGCTGAGCAGACTCAGCAGAATACAAAACAAATAAATCAGTGAAAGCATTCCTGACAGGATTTGTAAAACATAGCTAAGAGTTAAGATAGTAAACTATATGGTGGGGAAATCTGGCTTGCAGATATTTAGTACAGATTTTCACTGTGGAACATAAGAACAATATTTTTAATCTACTTATGATCCGAGATAAAATTGAGTTGTATCCCAAGTCATGTATCAATGAGGAAGCCAAGAACACAATTCAGATTGCTGATCCCCAGTGTTCTGAATACTTCATTCCTTCATTCTTCCGATGCACATTCATTGAATTCCTACTATGTGTAGGTTATGGGAAAACCAGGGTAGAATGGGGGAAAGGTAGGAAGATGAATAGGACAGAGATGCCTCTGTCCTCAAAGAGTTCACATTTGTTTATCTAAGTTTCTTCTGTAAACTGATGGTGTCTGCCTGCCTGTGAACTCAGCCTCTGCTTATTTTACAGAGCCCAATGTAGCTTCAAGTGATGCCACAAATACTGAATGTAGCATCTGACAGGACAGAGATAGCTATGTAATTAATGTCAAGAAATGGTGGAGGGAGGGGTGGTTTAGTATGCAGACCATGTTAGAACAGTATGATACAGTTACTAGTTCATGCTCACAGTTCTTTAAATTCTGCCTTTGAAAGCATTTTCAAATTGAGAAATATTTGATAAAAAGAAAAATAATTTTAGAATAGCATGTCTTGATTAAATGCTATTCATTTTAAGAGCAGAAAAAGTCTTTTTTTTACAGTGTGCAAGAGAGAAAATTCATATCAGTGCACAGTATTTTTGACCATTGTAATTTCTATTAAAATTGAATTTTAATAGAGGCATGCTACATGGACCAAAATAATTTATATGTAATTATTTTTTGGAAGATGAGCATTCACTAAAAATAATTTATCATGGTAGATATTTTCATTAAATATGAAAAGTTTTCAAAAAACACAAGTGCTTAAAAGTGTTTAAGCAAAAAATAGGAGTTTTTATACATAAGAAAATATATTTTTTAGTTAACCATCAATAGTAGACTCCACATAAATGGATTAGTCTTTCAGGAAGTGATAAAAACTGGGACCTAGATAAGAATGATTATCTGAGGATTGTTTCTAGACATCATAACTCTTAACAGGATAAATAGTGTGTTACTAAAGGAAGTTGACACCATGGAAGCAAATTGTGTGTTTAGAAACATACCACAAATGTATTAAAAGGAAGAGAAAAGCTTTTTATGTATTTTTTTGGTTGCTTATTATTATTCTTTCTTAGAGTTTATGAAATAACTTACAAATCAAAAAAAACAGGAAGAAAAAATACATTACCTTTTGCTGCATAGTAATACAAGTACTAAAATTATGCAGGGACATTATTCTTAGATTAAAATTAAGATAATTAAAGATAATTATAAATGCTCCTTAATATAAGCCTCTTTATTCATCTGTTTTAGATGGCCTAATTTATAGCACAGAGTTTTTATTATTTATGACTTTCACTATTTTCCTATATTGTTAACTTTAATTTTCATGTTATGTGCATTTATTGTTTCCTCTTCTCCTTGGCTTCTACTCTGTCTCCTTTCCCACCCCAGCCTTTTCTTTGTTATAAGTTGCCACCATAATGTTTGAGATTTGAGTTTAAGCATAATGCAGATGGTTTATCTAAGGGAGAAGCATCATTCATGTGTATTGAAGCGAGAGACAGAGCAGTTTTACATTTAAATGCTAAAAGTACTGGTTGGCTCTGCGGGGTTTTCGGAATCGAAAGGAATCTCCTCCACATTTTCTCTTTGTCTTCTCCAGGGCCCATATTTCTTGGCAACTTTCATAATGTAGTTTTTAAAAGAGGCCCCCATAAAAACATAGAGGACTGGGTTGAGACAGCTGTGAAGGAGCGCCAGGCTCTCTGTGATTTGGATGGCAACATCCATGCGTTTGCTCGCGTCGCAGTCGGTGACCACAGAGTAGATGATGTCGATGGCTTGGCAGAACTTGACAATGTTATAAGGCAGCTGAGTGGCGATGAAAACTACAACCACTGTGAGCAGAACTTTGAGGGGTCGAGATTTTTTAATGTTTGGCATCTTGATGAGTGTCTTTGCTGTGACAAAGTAGCAAACTCCCATGATAAAAAAGGGTGCTACAAATCCAACACAGATTTCCAGCATTTGAATTGCTGCTTTCATTGAAGTCCCTAGGTGGTGTGGAAAGATGGGAATGCACCTAGCCTTGTGATTGACTGTATAAAAAACCAGCTGTGGTATACTTAGCAAGACGCCAGCCATCCAGACACAGGAACAGACGAGCCAGCATGGTTTTCCTGCTCCTGAAAGATGTGGGGCTTCAGTTACTGCCCAATATCTGTCTATGCTGATACAAGCCAGGAACTGCATTCCAGAGACAAAGTTGACTGTGTACAAGGCTGAAGTAACTTTGCACATGATTTTCCCTAAAACCCACCCATGAACCGCACTGACTGCCCAAAAAGGCAGGGTGAATAGGAGGAGTAAGTCTGCCACGGCCAAATTCAGGATGTACACATCTGTTTTAGTTCTCTGCTTCTTATAATAGGCATAAATCGCCACCACTATGGAATTGCCAGCAAGCCCAGTGATGAAAGCTACTGTGAAAAAGGCAGGCAAGAAGACTTTTGCAAAATTTCTGACCTCTTCTTTTATACAGATCACTTCATACTGACTATAGTCATGAGTGCTGTTCATTTCATTTTCTTCATAATAGTAATCTGTTGACTGGTTGTGTTCCAAAGCCATGGCTCCGATCTAAACGGCAAAAAGAATACAGGGTATGCACTCCTTCATATTGATTGAAAGGAAACACTTTTTATTTAGTATATATTTTGTTCTTTTACTGGGGAACAGGTTGTTACCATAACATACCTGAGCATGAATCTCTTTAATGGAAGCCACATGAGAGTATATTCCCAAGATTAGTTTTTCATCCTTTGTTTTTACAGGTCTGTGTGCAGAGCTGTAATTCTGGGATTTACATAGGGAAGATAAAAATAATACTCTGAGGGATTTTCTTAATCATTAAACCCTAAATAAATGTAATGACCTTTACATAAAAATAATTTTCAAAGTATGAAAACTTAGATTCCGACTAAAAGGAATCAGAAATGTGATTTTTATACATACAACTTTGTAACAGTAAAATTAAAAACTAAAATACATTATTTTATTTATTTAAGATAAGTTTATTTTTATATCATCTACTTATAAATTTATTTTAAAATAAGTTGAAAAAATTACTTCAGCATTTATACCTATTTTCACTAGTTGGCTTCTATAAAACAAAGTCTCCTCCAGTTAGTGTCCGTCCAAACGTGTTGCTATATGCTTATTGTACTGCGGTTCAGGACCACCCACTTTCCACTAGTCACTTTTAGCCTTAAGCCTGCACCATCCTTGACTTCTCTCTTATCTTTGTCTCCAATTTCCAGTCAGCCGCTGAATTCTAATTTTACTCTCCAAACAGGGCTTGAGCCTGTCTCTCCCTTTTAATCTGTGCTCTTTGACACACCCGCACAATTCGACCATTGTTTCTTACCTGGCCTACTACAATATCTTCCTACCTGGTATCCTATTATTATTCCTACTTACCACCTCCTTGTCAAAACATTTTTCTTACTGCCACCAGAATGCTGTATCTAAAATGCCAGTCTGTCACTGTCCTGCTTAGCTGCTTTCCTGAAAGACACATCTCTTCACCTGAAAGATACAATCCAAGCTCCTTGGCAAGATACCCAAGGCTCCCTCTGTAATGTTGCCCCACTCCTGGTTGCTGCTCCATCTCTCTACTGTGCAGCCCATTTTGTAGGCAGTGATGGCACTGATTTGCCAGCAGTCTGCTGGCCACACCCTGCTGCAGCATATGTCTCTATCAAATTCATTCTCTTCCTTTATTGAATGTACTATTTTCTGCCCTTCCCTTCAGGGGCCAATTCCTATCCAGTTAATGTGGATATCACCTCCCCAGAAGGCTTTCCTGAATCAACAGCTATAGCTACATACCTCTCAGAGAACTGACCCCCCTCTATGGGAAAGGTGTTTCCCACACTGCGTTTGCTCTCTGCGCTCTAAGTTCCCCAGGAGTATGATCTGTTGGGTTTATGTTTTGTAATTAAGACCTTAATAGAGTTCCTGACACACATTAGGGTTCAATAAATATTTGTGAAGCAAAGGTTTTACCAGCAGGTATAAAGCTGTTACTCAAAAAAAAAAAAGCTTTTAATTCTAGAGATGATAGGCCAGGGATCTCATTCTAGAGATGATAGGCCAGGGATCTCCTTTCTCATCATTAAGTTATGTTTCTATATCAGCTATTAACACTCTGTAGTACTTAGGTAAGCTTGCACAGAATTCACGTTTTAAAATGCATATAATAATGACTTCCAATGTTTTTATTAAAGTGCTGAGTTTTTTTGTTTGTTTCTTCCTTAGTTTTTCTGTCTCCTTTGGTTATTTTTAGTCCTTGGAATAATTTCAAATATTCTCAGATTATTGTTAATGAAATGTTATTTTTGTGTGCCAATTTATGGTACAATTCAAAAGAATATTATACTTGCCAACCCTTTCTGGATTAGTAAAGCAAAGAAGGCCCCATGAGGAAAGATACTGCAGAATTCTTTTCATTGTGCAAAACCCAGATGCTGACAATTTTAAATGACTACTTTTATTCTTCAGAATATTTGAAAAGTTCCAACCTGGGAGATTCCTCTGCTCTTCATTTCTTATGCATTAATTATTAACACAATGTGAACTTTGTTCTTTCCTTCTCTTTCATCACAGAAGTCTTGAACTTGATAAAGAATAATATGGCCAAATAATGTAAGATATGGAAGGGTATTTTTAGAAAGAATTAATCTTACTAAAAATATCAGTAAATAAGAGTAAGAGTAGGAATGGAAGTTATTTGCAGAAACGATCCCTCAGGTAGGTATACAGAAACACATTGTCTTTATTATTATTATTATTACAAGAACAAAAAATTAATGTTTTTAAAACAAAGCAGATAAAATGATGTAGTGAAACCTCATTAACAAAGGTTTATAGGCAAGTAATTGTATTAAAATAATGTTTTATTCTTGCTATACTCAGATTTCTGTTTTAAGGTTAAAGTGCATAGCTATTCTCCAGTAGCTCTTTTTTGCACATGAAAACATTTAGATTTTTATATATCAAGACCCTCTCAACATAGGTAACTACACGAAGTCTTTAGGCTTTAAAAAAAATAATATCCAAGTCAGAATGAACAAAGAAAGAAAAGACTAACCTGTTCCAGTGGGCAGAGAGGCGCAGTCTTGAATGCAGAGTGTAAAATCAAAGGACCTCTCTAACTCAGTCTACTTTTGTTTTCGTTTTACACCCCGCCTTTGTCTTGTATCCAAGAGAGCTTTCCTGAAATTTAACCTTGTGAGCACTTGATCGTTACTTAATGTATAACTGTCCTGTGAAGTCAAATACAAGTTCTTAAGTGTCCTAGGATACAAATTTGAAATAGTCCATCTTGTTTCAAAAACTACAGACCTTTCAAAGTCCCTCAGCAGGAGGGAACAAAAAAGTGCCTGCAGCTGAGGACGGCCTGCCAGACCAAAAGAAGTCCCCCCAGGGCGAGCCTCAGGGCAGCTGACAAGCACATGGAGGTAGCATCTGGAGAAGTACTCTCTGCAGTTATTTCATCTACGAAAAAACAAAAATGATTGTAGCCCAGAGAGTTATTTTTTGAAGACTAAATCATCAAAGCTCAAATTCTGAGTAATTGTTAGGCATTTGTAGAACTGAATGCTTTTATGCCAACATCATCTAATACCTGACTTAAACTACCCGACTCCTCTGGGCTTCCCCGTGCCCCTCTGTGCTTGCCCTTAGAGTATGCCTCTCCCCAGAACTTTACACTCTCTTGCTTTCCTGTTACCTTTTTCTTCAAAGACCAGAGTTCAAATCTTCAAAATCCTTCTGACTGGAAAGGTTGCTTGTTTTTTCCCAGGTTTTCGAACAAACGAAAGTTAGAGAAAGAAATGTATGCACATTTGGCCCCTGTGGCCCGCTTGGACTTGACTCTCATCACATTTGCATAACAGTTCTTAAGTTCTCATGCCAGGCTAGGCGCAGTCTCCACCTGCAAAAGTTATTTCAGACCCATGCCACTTTTTCTTCAAGCAGTTGATCTAATTTTCTTGTTGATTCTTCCCAAAAGCAGTACCTGGGAGGGTACAGCCAGTGGCGCTTCCTTGCCACCTACCACTCCTTGAGGAGGAGTCGTTTGCATGCAGCCAACCAGCTCACCAAGGTTTGGATTTGTGGTGTTTGCCATTTTCATTGGTGTAAATACTCCTACCATGACCAGTGTCAAGCCACCAGTGTGCAGTCCCCCAAGGTTGCTGAAAGATGAGCACAGTCAGCTCCCCCGAGCAGGCCTAGCATACTTCTTCCAGCACAGCCATCTCTTCACCAGGCCATGGCTGACCATTAATCCCTTCCTGCCTTCTGAGGGACACTGCTCTTCCCTGCCCTCTCTAGACTGTCTGGTCTTTCCCTTTCTCTTACCTCTTGTTCTTCATCTTGTGTATTTTGGGGCAGGAGGAAGTGAACAAGAAACCCTCCACTACATTCGTAGAGTGACCTGTAAGACCCCACAGGTCGCCTCCATCCCTCATGTCCCTGACTTTATCTCACACTACTTGCACCTTTGCTTGCCTGTTCTGCCACATGAGCCTCCTTCCTACTTTGGACTGTACCCAGCACATTTCTCCTTAGAGCTTTTGTGCTGGCTCTGCTCTGTCTGGAATGTGCTTCCTCTAAATATTTGCATGGCTCACTTACTCATCTCTTTCACGTCTTTGCCCTGTCACCACCTCCTCACGGAGGCAATCCCTGACTACTCGATTTCAGGTACCCCTCACTGACCTATACTCCCAGTGCACCTTACCCATAGAACTTATCATGTGCCAGTGTACCATATCATTTATATTGTTTGCTGTAATTGCTGTAACATAATATGTGTTTATATTTATAATTTTTCTCTCACCCTATATTAGAATATAAACTTAATCAGATCAGGGACTTCTGTTTTCTTTGTTCACTGATATATCCCAAGTGCCTAGAATAGTGTCAAGCACATAATACATACTCAATCAATATTTTGAATTAATTAATAATCCTACTTCCCCTTCTGATTATTATCTCATCTTACTTGCTCTTGAAGCTATATACTTCTTTAATTACTAGACTATAATTGTAGCCTCCATAATTTGCAGTTACATAATCTCTTCAATCCATCTACGTGAAATGTATATACAGTCTGGCTTGTGGGCCTTTGCTTATGCTATATTAATGTCTAGAACACTCCCACTCCATGTTAGCTCCCATTCTCCTCTTTAGGATTCAGATTCAGGTGTGACCTTCACATTACTTAAACCAGGAGGCCTTTCTTAACCCCTCAGGATTAGCTCAGATATACTGATCGTACTCCCATGGTACTGTCTCACTCTATTGTATGTACTTACAAAATTTTCTGTCTTCCGTAGCAACAGCCTTATATCCTGCTGTATGCTCAACATCTGTGCCTAACTCATAGTACCAGCTTATTAAATATTACTTAAATACATGAATCAGTCAATCCATCAGTGTTTATGTACATTATCCTCTGTAGACTTATAAGTTTAGCAACAGAGCTGGAATTTTCAGTCTTAGACTATTTCTATTTTATCATACTATCTCTTATACATCTTTGTTATTCCATGATGTCATCTATTATATAATCTTAATACTTTTTTATAGATATTTAAAAGTATCTCTTTCCTTTGTTTTACATATCTAACTATGATACACTTCCTTGTAAATCAGTTACAATGCTATAACCTTCATATCTTTTGAGTTTGCTCATCATTTTTTCTAACTCAAATACATACCCAGCCCTGGGAGGATAAAGGACCTCAGGATCAAGCTTCTTCTGGTAGTACATAGTGAGTCACGCCTGTGTATGAAACATGACAGAACTAGAAGAGAACTGGGAGACACTTGACAAAATATGAAAGGCAGTCTTATAGCTTGTAGGATAGGGAAAGGCATCATTTGCCTTGAGAAACTTTTCAAAGTGCTTATTTGGTGTTTCTTTAGTGCCTTTTTCTTCTCTTCCTTCCTTCCTTCCTTCCTTCCTTCCTTCCTTCCTTCCTTCCTTCCTTCCTTCCTTCCTATCTGCCTACTTATTTACTTTTCTCTATTTCTTCTCATATCTCTAAGAACTGAGTCTTTATGATTCCGGTTGGCTACTCACCATAAACTGCCTCTCACCCTTACCTGCCCTAACATAGCAATGTCCCTTGTTCCTGAAGAATTTCTCTCTCCACATCTATTCCTCATCCTTCTTCTTAGAATGCCCTTTAGTTCAGTAATAGATGTCTGGAAAATAATCTGACTGAACTATATACTACATTATCAATGAAAATAACATTGATATTGAGATATGTTTTGAGCATATTCAGGTAATCATATTTTTCTTTAGTGTCTATATTGAATTCATATTGTATATGCATTTTTCACTTAGCATTTTTGCTTAAAAACTTTGCTTAAGCATTTAATGTTATTCCATTATAAATGGCATTTTTAGTAACTAAATAATATTTTGTTGTGTGGATCATCATCATTTGCCTAACCATTCAACTATTTATAGAATGTTTTTAGAATGTTTCCAGTGTTTTGCTATTACAAGTGATGTTACAGAGAACATTTTTGTAAATACTGTGGGAAATCGATCTTAATCTACTTTGTGTTGAAGAATATGTCTGGCTGTGCATAACTATTGCTTTTTTTCATACACAAAAAGATGGCATTCTTACTATTCACTGTAGAATAACCCTAAAATTCTTTCAGATAAGTGTGTAATTCAGATAAGTGCTCCCTTATTTTTTTTGGAAGGGTTCCATAAAATATACTACAGTATATTTTAAATAGTCTCCTACTGATGGATATTGGTTTATCCCAATTCTTTGCAAATATAAACAATATTACTGTAATGACTAGTCTTGTACATCTGTCATTTCATTCAGGAAGAGCTTTATCTGTAGGATAAATCCCAGTAAATTGATGTATCAGAGAGTGAATGAATATGTAATTTTGGTAGGTATTGCCAAATTGTACCCCATAGGGATAGTATTACTTTGTATTACTACTGATAATGTATGGAAGTGTCTATTTCCCTAGGACCTTACCAATAGAATGTGTTATTTGACCACCACTTTGCTTTCTAAATGACTTGTAACAGATTTGGTACCCTTCCCCTGCCTTTGCCAATTGTGTGTGTGTAATATTTTCCCTAAATTATTTTTTTTTACTTTTTACTTTTGTTTTTTTAATGTACAATAGTTTTAGGTAGACAAACAAGTTGATCTCTTTCTTTTAATTTATTACTTTATGGTTCAAAATTTTTCTGTAAACAAATTTCATAAATATTAATCTGTGTTTTCTTCCAGCTTTGGCTTGATTATTTAAATTAAAAAATTTTTTCAGTTCTGATCTTGATTCTGTGACAATGATACAACAGTAGCAGCAGCATGTAACATTTACTGAATGTTTTTTAGACATAAACCTTGCTAGAGGTGGAGTAAGTGAATTTCAAAGGTGTTTCCCCCATTAGAAATTACACATAACCCAAGAGAACATGTGAGATTGTTTTTTTTCTAAACTGTAGTATTATATGTATACAAATCTTTTTAATAAGTGGAAATTTCATTGTAAAATAGCACTTAACTCATAACAATTTTTATTCCAATTTGAATTAAAGCTAAGTATTAGTATTAAAGCTGAGACCAAAAGAAAGTATTGAACTTCAGAAATTCAATATTGGTAAAAAAAAATAGCATTGAGACTTTATGGATGACTAACTGTGCTTCATCTTATATTAGTTTACATCACTTCCTTTACTGTTACAGAACTCATCCGTAACCAACGGTCATGTTTTCTCTCCACCTGTCTTCTTTCTCTGTATTAGAGAATGATTTTGTTTGATAACCATGTGGTTTATAAGAGCCTAGGAAATTAAAACTCATCAGCAAGTATCAAGTAGAAGTCATTTTCAGTCCGACTTAATCCTATCACTTGAAGAGTCTTTAAATACCACAGAATCTGGATTCAAACACAATTTTCTTTCTCTGTATTAGAGAATGATTTTGTTTGATAACCATGTGGTTTATAAGAGCCTAGGAAATTAAAACTCATCAGCAAGTATCAAGTAGAAGTCATTTTCAGTCCGACTTAATCCTATCACTTGAAGAGTCTTTAAATACCACAGAATCTGGATTCAAACACAATTATATTATCTATGCCATCTGTTTCATTCACTAACGCCTGTGACACAGCAGATACATTTCAATGTTTTATGGTCTATTCAGATTTCCTCTAATATGTTTCATTTATGACATTTGGTATCCTGTTCATTAACTAAAATAACATAAAAGAGAAAAACTATTTAGAAGAAGGACATTTTAGCTGCTGCACCTGCCAAATCTTGCTTGTAGGTAAAATAAGATGATATATTTGTGAGAGTTTTTTCCCATTTTCTGAAACATCAAGGTTAAATCAAAATATTTCAGAATTTACAACCTATGCATTCACCCTTACTTCCTCTACTTAATAATCCCAAAAGGAGAGCCAATTTAGAAATTTGTTTTTGAATCTGAATGGTTTTCCATATTACACCGGGAAGGCAGAATCAAAGAACTGTCTGCCTTGTTTCTTGAGTTTCTTCAAAATGTACCTGATCTGTAATCTACCAGGTACTTACACAAAGCTGTGGCAACAATGTTCCATGATACAAAGAGAAAGGCAGGGGCACTACTGGGAAACATTAGAGAAATACCCATATTCTGAGTATTAGAAAAAGAGGGCATTCCACTAGGGCTAAAGGGCATCACAGAGATCTTACTTTTCAAGGATTCAGATTCTGGTTTTCTAGGATTAAAACTGTTAGCCTTAAAAATTAAACTGTCAGTTATTTACTGGCAAAAATGGGTTTATTCAAAAATAGCAGAGAATTGCAATTGCAATTCAGACCATGCAAGCTATAGCAAAACCACAAGCAAGTCCAGAGAAAGAAAGAGAGGACCTCTATAGAGGAAAGATCAGACTTTGCGGGTGGGGTGGTGCTCTTCTAAACAATAAGTCCATTGGATGAAACTGGGAGTTGCAAATCTAGTAGTGGCTTCTCATTGGGCTGTTGGGAATCGTCTTGCAAATTCTGTGTCTTC